TATTGATAAATTTAAACAACACATAAGTAGGGCCAAGAGCCCACACCATAAACCACCGGTCATTCAAACTATGGAAGCCATATGAACGTATTCAGTCTAAACTGCTGCCATTTCGTTGCCTACTAACCATCATCAGAATTCCTACTTCTATTCCTACTCTACTCCTCTATCCTATTTTCCTAAGCAGATTCTTTCTCCTGCACACTTTTGTAAATGTAGGGACGTTGAACTCTGCATCAATTTTCATTTTAGGAGTTTTTTTAACTGCTCTTATTTCTCAGTTCACCACAATTGGAAAACATCGCCAAATATTGCCCTTAAAGGAAAATTTCTGCTGACATTATAAAAAATTTGTACGTTTATCTGTGCACGTTATCAAACTGTTTTTTTAACGGAACTGACCTTGTATAGTTATTGCCTTCCTGACACCAAGAAATATAAATTCCAAAAATGACCTGCATAGCATATTTCTTTGATGGCGCATCGTTAACTTGTTGTCTGGTGATGTAAAATTTCAAAAAAGCTTGCACTTAAAATTGAAATACTAATCGAACGATATTATTCGGTAGAAAATAGAAAAGGATAGGCTATACAAGCAGTCAGACTTTGACTCAGGCAAAATTCTTGCAGAGATCAGGGAAAATAAACATGGTATCGTCCCTCCTGTCAAGCATTCAAATAAGGCTGATCTGGCCTATCAGTAGGTTCGTGAGGCTTTACCTTCGTCTATGTAACCATTCAGTTTCTACAAATTCAGCGCATTGCTGAGGCACAAAAATGCTTCAGTAAAAGCTTATTGAGGGGAAAATTTGCGTGTTTTATCTGAAAGATTGGTGCACAGTTCCCGTTCTAATAGAAAAGCAACAAGACATTTTAAAATATTTTTCCAAACACATATGTATGAAAATTCCCATACAGTTCATCCCTTTTACGAGTTCGTAGCGACTTTTCCTCAGTGTTTTCCGGTCTTTAACGTCAAGATCGTGCCCGTAGCCGTATACAAGCAAAGGAAACCCCAACTCTATATGGTTTGCCACCATTCCAACGCGTTAACATATCCGTGGAATAAGCCGTTATATTAGTTAGGTGTTTGTAGATGCATGACTGACTTCCGATTTTTACATATTGAACCTGATTTATATTTTATTTGACTAGATCGGAATTTAACTAGTCTTGGTTGCTTGCTGTGAAAATTCAAAAAAATCACATGTTACTGCGTTTTCACATGTCATTGGGATGCTTCATCCTTCATTTTTTCATTTGGCTCTGCTTTCCGAGCTTCTTTGGGAAAAACCTTTTCACATCCTTTGGTCTTCCACGCTTTGACAGGAAAATAGAAAATTTCTGCGCGTGCGTTATAATAAACCGACCGTATTTTTTTTAAAGGGATTGCATATGGCTAGAAAAGGAGCACAACCCAACGGTCTCTGCTGAGGAACTTTATAACCTCTGCCTACAAAAACAGTATTTTGCGCTTCATAAATGTGCTGGACTATTCTATATTGATGGTTTGTGTGCGTACTTACCAAATAACTGATTGAAGATATCGTGCCGCCAAACTTTTTTATTTTTCATAATCCAGAAGAGGAGTCCCAAGATCTTATCAAAAAAGGCCTAAATAAAATACGCCACATGGGATTTGATTCTAAATTATTCTTTTTGGAGAGATCTTTGGCCGAAAACGCTAACCAAACAATACAACGCAAGTTCTTCTGGTGATTACTCTTTCATCCCTTCCGGGAATAGGTGACACAATCTTCATTTCGAATGATAATAGTTGGAGGCAAATATGTGAAATGGAATCACTCCAGAATAGACACAGCTTATTCTATCTAAGAGTATCGAGTCAGCGTTTGATGCATTTCAGTAAGTAAACCTTTTCAAATTATCCGAAAGTGCAAAACAATAAACAGCTATCAGTCCTTTTTTGATAATAAACTTTTCTGTGTAAAAATAAACTAAATTCCTTTGCTAATCGGTCACAAATAAACAATTTTTTAGTTTTATTATTTTCCAACCTTAGCATGCGCGAAGATCTTTTATCTCAACGTAATGCGTAGACAGATCAGTAGGGGAATCACTAACCCTTTACATTTCCTACAACAGGGGTTGTAGTAAGACAGGCATGATGCTAAAAGTCAAATCCTTAAGTAGACGTTTGCATATTTTGTTTGCTTTAGATTTGGCTAAAAGTTATTTCTGATAATAGACGAGCATCAATAAGTTTACCATTCTTCTCTCAACTTGCGTACGTTTGTAAGATAGGGGAAAATAAGAATGTTTCTCATACGAACCTTCATTTATAAGGGGATATCTGTCACAAAAAAAATAGTTCAGCTTTCCAATACTGACTTAAATGAATAAGAAAAATCCACGATTTGTGTGAACTTTGCAAAAGAGACCCAGAAACTGTGAAAGCCTTAGAGTTATTATTTGAAATCAGCTTGAGGACGAGAGTACTTATGTTGAAACTTCACTCTGCCTACATAAATTTAACCAAAAGACAAATCCCGGGCTTATTAACTGAGAAAGAAGAATCAAAAGTTAATGTACACTAGATGAACCTGTTTGGTCTCTCTCAGATCTATCAAGGCTGAAGTAAGTTTCTTCGTCCTTTACGCCGTTACAGACATCCACAGAAGGAACTAGAGGTATGCTCAAAATTGTTCAATTATAGACTCCTAAAAATAAATGTGGAGTGATTTAAGTTAGTTACATCCTGTTAGCCATTCTGTCTGCCATTCGTGAACTGAACTCGAATGCTGTCATTACAACCCTATCCAACTACGTCAGTTTTGACGCTGTAAAAATATTTCAGTCTTCATCGGTATTGAACAGAATATTTTCTTCACGATCATTTTAATTTCAACTTTCTGCGTACTAGTTAACCTGCTGGACTGGTATTGCGGCAGCCAGATTCAAGAGCGGCGCTTATCAATAGCAGTAGACACAACGACTGCCTTCGATTCTGACACCGCCTTAGAAACTATGCGAAAAGTGCGCAGTATTTTTGATCCCGATCGACTACTCTATGTGGACAAGATGTTGGCCAATCCAATAGTTCAGGCCATCATTCCTTTTCGGTAAGTTGTTGTATATTATGTTAGACTTTGAGCGAACAAGGATTCATTTTAATTTTGCAATGACCGCCTTACGTTGGACGCATAAATTGCCAGGACCGGGTCAGTTTTTGCGGTAATGTGCATACCGCTACTGTTTTTGGACTTTAATAACACCCAAACCAGTCCTAGAATTTTATTTGGAGACTGGCTATAAAGTAAGAACAGCCGGTGAAACTTCAAGTAACTGGGTAATAGTACGGCCATCAAACTCCAAAATTTGGCTTTTAAATCTTCGTCTTTTATAGAAAAAATTATCAGTAATAAGCATAATGGTAATTTTTTAAGAGTGAAAGTCGAAGTGAGCTGAAAAATATACGCTTCAGTTATTTTTTCATTTCAAAACTAAGAATTCAAATGAATATACGATTTACTTACCTTTGTAGCATTGGATATACATTCTAAGCAGTCTACTTCTAGATAAAAGGCAATTTAGTGAAAAAGATTTTTTAAAATTCAAATAGGGAATTCAACACCGCTATTGAAGATCAGTGGAATGCATGGCACATACAAAGAATTGAAATAGTAATTGAAGACAAAAGCGGCCCCAGTCGTAAGTAAATAATATCCTTTTTGCTAAAAGTTGCCTTAAGTAAATTGCGTAAAGTAATATTCTTCCATTGCATAGAACTTCTTTAATATGGTAAACTTTTAATTCCTGTTAAAAAGCAGCTACTTTGGCAAACAATAGCGATCCAAATTTTCTTAACCACCTGCTAAGCAGTCTACTTCTCTGCTGTGCTATATGTTTAGTGTCAGCCTTATTTTAATCCCTTTTGGAAAAAATATGCAAACATAGTCCATGGTAGGGTCTCAGAAGCATTTGTCCATCTTTCCCTTATTAAAACTGAAAACGAACTGAAGGATACACAAATAACAGTGTATAAGCTCATATAAATTCAATTTTAAGGATGCACTAATTTCAGCACTTTTTAACGAAAGATGCTAGACTTCTTTTGGCAATTTTTCTTTGACAAAATAAAATTTTAGTATTAAAAAGGAACCAAAAACCCAAAACTTGACTGAATTATACATAATGCAAATAAACTCCAATTTGGTGCTTGCCCGTCCGCGGCTTGTGTCTGACTGACTGACAGCAAAATGCCTCCTCATCTTTCTTTTCTCAGTAAAGTTTTCCAGTTTTTATTTTGTAACTTGTCTATGACATAGAAGTTAAAATTGACGCTACTATAAAAGTTGTCCCTTTGGAGGACTAAATGTTTGCTTCCTTGTATCAGCAAAAATTTTGTTGACGGAGCATCCAGGAGTGGTGAGAGAATTACTAGCCACATCAATGACCAGTATCCTCGCTCGCCTTCTCGTTGAAATAAGACATGAAGAAGTCAAAGGTCTCCCTCTCCCAACTCGCGAAGATCTTATCCTGCAGACCCTGAACTGTCTCATACCGTTCACCCACATCTTTAATGGTAAGTCAAACGTGTTCCTGAAATTACGCAAGTAGTCTCCATGTGCTAGGGAATTCGGGTGTACTGAGTTACCTTGGTCTTTAGGGGATTGAAATAAGTTTGACGGTCGCACGCGTGCAACTAGAACAGTAGACCTTCTGAACTTCGATAGTGGGTGTATACAATGACTTATATTTCCATATAGTATTTACCTTCTAGCTATTTTAACTATATTGACTCCTCTCCATTAATCGTTGTATGCGACAAAAGAAGGAAAGGATAGATATGGTTTGCGGTTCTGCATAATGTGGTATTCTGAATCCAGGACGTCCTATACAATTTCGGATTTGCCCTTATCAATTTTCTTTACATTTAAAGTACTGTTAAAAGTAAACATTCTTGTATTTTTTTCAGAATGGGATGAAACTCAGGCCAGATTTTTCTACTCAAATATTTTGCTTGCCGAATTCTCTGACCTTGCGGACGAATTTCTGCGCAATCATACGACATTCGTTTCGACACCAACCTTTGCCGCGGCGCTTTTAACCGTAAGCGAAGCCCTAGTATTACCCAAATCTGTAATCTTTCGGTTATCTCCTCTAGCTCGTTAATAATGAGCAAAAACTTACCAGGTCTCCGCACTGTCAGAGACAAGCAAACTATCCGCGAAAGTATGTCTGTTCGACCATCACGAACGCTGATTTCTACCTTGTGACCCACGGAGTGGGTTCAGTATCAGTAAAATGCGCATGAATTAGTCTAAAGTGATAATAGACTTGCGCAGCATCTGTCGTCCTTGTTATAACGGTGACTTCGGTGGTGTTACCGTCTAAGTACCCCCG